TCACCACATTCAAGATAAATTTCATTAAATCAATGCAATTCTGCATGCACATTATTAATTTATTAGCTTAGACATGTACATCAGTCCAATATAGCAAACTCTGCATCAACACAATAGTGTGTATAGCAGAGTTGTCACCAATTTCCTCATATCATTTAGGTGCATACACCTAAATTCAGTGCAGCTTTTGTGTGGAGAGCATCCTTTACAGTAAGTTTCTTAAATACTTCCTCAAAGGAAACTCTTCTTGGTAACATTTCTAGACTCAGTGTAGCCTTCCTTAAAGATTTCTTCAATGACACTTTACAACTAAATCAAAAATGTAGCATGCATCCTAACTCAGAAAACCTGACGAGAGAATTAGATCACATCTGTAAATCAAATGTGTCCTTGAATGTCACTGCAGATCCGCTTTTGTTCTCAGATTTTATTAAGCACTACATTTAAAGTACCACATTATCCACCCAATTTTATTAAGCATCACAGGTGACATGATTTTAGATTCTGAGAAAATAGTCTATTGATCATGAGACAACACTATGGTGGACAAGAAAATGAGTAACTTTTAGTTTTCATCAGAAAGTGTTACTGTTTCTACTACCAAATACAGAAGGGGAAAAAAAGTAGCTCATAAATAGCTTGGTAGTTTTTTTAAGCTTTTAAGAGGGACTCTAACATCAACATAGATATTAGCTTACTTTTTCTTCTCAAAGAAAGTGGCTTAACAAATTTGTATCAAATGAAGTTATTTGCCTATCCAGGTCAAAAATTATTCCAATGAATCAGTCAAATTTTAATCTATTCCAAATATTTGTAACTGTTAATGGGAAGAAAAACTTTAATTTCCATGAAGTTAAACACATTAATAACTTTTTTCACCTCACGGTAAATTATAAGCTTAAACCAGGCAGATCCTACTGCTAGGACTTGAAGCAGACTTCATTAAATCCCCATTTATGGCCATTATCAATGAACACAATCCATCACTCTAGCTGCAGACCTGTAGAGTCAGTCTACACTACAGTAACTTAAAATATGTTTTGCTCTTTTCACCAGCTCTCTTTGGTCAACATCTGAAATAGATCCCTACCAGGCAATAAAACATGACCTAGCTCTGAATAGGACCAACCAAAGACCCTAGAAATAGTTTTTAACACATCACTGGATTTCTGCTATAAGGCCATTGTCATTGTAAGTAAATCTGCATCTGTTTACACACTCATGTAACTTTAACAACAATTGCAGCTACCTCTAAAAAACCTGTATTAAACCAAAACAGAATTTTAAGCTCATGAACCAAAATGAGGTCCACTAATAAATTAAAATTTTCTGACATTCTGATTTTTAAAAATCAGTGTATATAGTTACAAAGCTCCCTCCATAAATTACTAGGCCACTTCGTGTTCCACCATTTAATTTGAAAGCATGGCATTCTAGAATGTCAGCATGTGAGCCCAACCTTACAGCACACGCATTACATCCATGAGCAACTGTGGTAATATCTGTTGAACAATACTGTAAAGGTGTCATACATGGTTAGCTTTTTCTACATTTTTATCAGAACGTAACAGAGTAACTGCCTTATGCATTGTCCATCTCCTCCCTGATTTCTAGTTGGGTAACTACCATTCCTGAGGCAGAAAAGTATCTTGATTATGAATACTGTGCAGTACCATGCACAACATCAATATAAAATAATAATCTCTACAGAATTAACAGAAAAAGCTTTCAGGGAAAAGCTGTATTTGGAAATCATTTGAGCACTTGAACTATCTTCATATGGTTCGTTTTGTCATTGTCAGTAAAAAAGTATTACTTTTTATGTTGTCCATATAAAATTGATCACGTGTTAAATCAAGCTTCTCCACCAACAGAAACCAGGAGAAAAAAAATGCAACATGTTGAGCAAATCAAATATTGAAAGTAATTAGCTTTCTTCCCCCTTGAGCAGGATCTACTGGCAAATATGTCCTGGTATGACAAATGTTCACTGTAACATTTAAAAAACTGCAGTGTGACAAAAGTAACAGCACCAATAGTTTCACAAATCTCCCCAGTGCAAACGCTGATGTACTCTCTATATTCTGTTTACCTTCTGGAATGAAATCAGTCTGACCAAGAAGCACTGTGCACACACTGAGAGAACATTAAAACCTTAGTCTTCATTTGAAATATGAGTCTGAACCACCTGAAGACAAAATCAGTGGAAAGTAATACTTGAAAAATTCTTTCTACAGAATATGTGTACACAGCTTAGCATGTGGATCGACAGGCAAGTGATATTCCCACTTACCGACACAAGAGTTATGCAAGGCAGTTTGACTGTCTTTCCAGAAACCATTTTTATCAGAAATACATCACACTTAAATTTTTTTCCACACATGCACACACAGAAAAATGCTTTAGATAACACTGCTGTAAGTGTGCGTGTGTTCATTAGTCTGTTTTCCACCCCCCACTTCTGCGGTTTGGTATTTAATTACAGGGTGGAGTGGTCCCCAGGCTACTTATGTTTCTTCCAGTCACAGCCAGAAAATTTCTGCAGGAGCTGACATGCAGGAGTGTGACCGCTTGAAGTTATAGCTGGTTCCCTGTCAGTAAGGTTAGCTCACTCTTTACTGAAACTCCCAGCACTGCTTTTGTTTAATAATTCTTCAAAGTATATTTAAATAGAATAAACTGCATTCTGAACTTTAACAGGACCTAATTTAGCTAATCTTAATTTGCTTTTCAATTTTCTTTTGCTAATGACTATAAAAAAATCTTTATGAATAATTTAACTTGGAAAGAAATGGCAAATTTTCTTTTCCCTTGAATATAGGAAAATGTAACCTTAACCTTGTATGCCTCGTTTGACCAGCTGGGATTTTCAAGCACATCATCTGACTTGAAAACTATGTGCAATAATACATTGGGTTAAATGCTGCTTTCCATAAACACTCTTAAATTTCTGCAAAAAATTCTAGTTTCATCTGAAAAATATTAGACCACTCATAAAATATTATAGTTCATATATGATCATTTTATGGTTAATTATTACTCCCAAAAGTATTGGAGTATAAAGAAATACATTATTCAAATTAATTTTTATAGAAATGAGAAAAGTTCTGTTGGATAAATAAAACTGGGCAAACAAAATAAAGACAAAGTTAAAGTAACAAATTACATATACAATTAAACTTTTATATTAAAACAGGATTATGATAATCAGACTATTACTGTTGACAGGATTTGGAAAAAAATTAAAGACACTCTGGGGTTTTACCCACCAACTGTTCTTTAAAGAGAACTTGCATTTTCAGCCTAAGCAACAAGAATCCATCAACTTGGAAAACTGTCTCTTTTTCAGACGTGTGACATGAAAGTGAAACCACAAGAGCTCATTTTGACTATTAGTCAATAAAAAAAAAAAAACAGACATACTATGTTATGTAGTTTTTAGCCAGAGGTATTTGAAAACACCTGCTGGCCAAGCCCTAGAAAGAATTTATATGAAATACTTATTTACAAATGATCTCTTACAGTGCTCCTGTCAGTCAGCCACTTCTCTGTCCTGTTCTACTGAGAAAAATACGTGTAAAGTGCAGAGCAACATGATCCTCTCATTCAGGTGATAAACCTGATGATAAAACTTTTTAATAAAAAACTTCTAAGTTTGGACGCTGGCACATGTTCACTCAATATTATAGACCACATACAGTAACATACAGAATGGCAGAAAGAAAGGAAACATAGTTTTTTGCTTTGCTAGTAGCTCAGAGCGTGACAAGAGATAAAAAAATCTAAACTCTGTGCAGAGTAATTCAAAGACTGGGGTCTTGAGTAATCATTTGGAAATTCCAAAGCAACAAGGCAAAGAAATCATTATAGAATCATGCAATTTACACATCTATTAATTTCTCTACACAGTAAATATCCTTTTTCTTTCCCCTCATGCCTTGTCTATATGCTATTTATTATGGCTGAACACAGAGCTGAATATGAACTCAAGGTAATATTATTCTGACTAAGGGCTGTAGTAAATGAGTGAATGATCTCCTGTAGCCCTGGCAGTTTAACTCCCTCAGTATCCTTGGGTACATGCTCCATCAGCAAACGTTTTATTTCATTAGCAAACATTTTGTCACTGTGTATTTACCTGGTTAATACAGTGCCATTTAATTCGCAATGAATCTGAAGCAGATACAAAATCTACCAAAACAAGGCACTGTGTCCTAAGCACATTTTACAATTACTACATATTTTCAGGCCTATTAAACTGCTTCAGATCAAATTCCAAAGGTCATAAATAACACGGTAGCCAAAATTTCTGGCTAGAAGGGATAGGCAGTTATGTTACACTTCTCAAAATCTGTCACTAAAATAAGGAAGACTCCTCCCGTGTCCCTAAAGATATGGATGCTATAAATACACATACACACCACTTGTGCTGCAGCCGTGCATTCCGTTTGTGAAAAGCCACCCACGACCCGAGCACAACGGGTTCGCGGTTAGAACCGGGCTAGAGACCCGGGAGCCCGCGTTACGCAGTCCCTCCCACCGAGCCTACTTCACCTCGAACGGGGCACCGGCGCAGAGTGCCCCGGTCCCACCTCCGGGAAAACTCCCGGGAACAACTGCTATTAAACTTACTTTTAAAAAAAACTTTAATAAGTTTTTATTAATGAATCTGGGACGCCTAGCCAAGCAGGGAAGCTGTGCGGCCCAACAGTTCACATGCTCCGGTAACTACCCTCCCGCCAGCGCCTCGCTTCACCCCGCTCTCTCCTCTTCCCACTGCTGCACTGGGAAGAAGTTCCCTCCCCCGCGGATTCCACATCTACCTCACACTTGGAAACCCCCGGCGCCCTCGCCTCAGGGCCAGCACAGCAACCCCCTCTACCCTCGGCTAGTCGGTGTGAAACTTGGCCGACCACTCTCCCTCCCTCCCTTCTTTCCCTCCCTCCCTCAGCGCGGACCAAGCCACGGCAACCGGCCTCCGGCCTGGGACCCCTACTCACTTAAGGAAGTACCGCTGTCCCGTGTGCGTGAGCGCCATCTCCCAGCCGGGCGGCAGCGGCAGCTCGTCCGTCACGTCGTAGGATCGCTGGCGGAGGTGCGCGTGCTGCTGCGCGGCCCCCGAGCCCAGAAGCGAGGCGGGCGAGGAGTGGGAACGGACATGCTGCGCGGCGGCGGGCCGCAGGGGGGGCGCGCCCGAGTCCGTGCTCGACTGCCGCGAGTGCGAGCCCGAGTCGGGCTCCTTGAAGAAAGACTCGGGCAGTATTTTCTTTCTCCAGGAGCTGGGCGTGGGGTTCATCACCGCGTTGAAAAGCGCCTCCAGCTCCGTGTCCAGGTCCTGCGTGACGTGGATCACCTGCTGCCCTGGCGGCGGAGCCGCAGGAGCGGGATTCATTTTCCACCCGTCGGGAGCAGGCGGCTCTGGAGCAGGCAGCAGCCGACGCCGACGCCGGCCCCGCTGCAGGCCACCGCCGAGGACGTGCCCTTCGGAGCCAGGCGGACGGCTCTTCAGGGCTGGCGCCGCTCTGCCGGGGCGGGCGATGAGTGCCTCTGCGCCCCCGCCAGCAGCGTTGGTGTCCCGGGCGGGCGGGTCAGCCCGCGGGCCGGGCCGGGCCGCGCCGGGCAGCGGTGGGACGAAGGCAGCGCCGGCCCCTCCCGCCCGCCTCTCAGCACTCGGCCCGGCCCCTGCCCCGCCCGCAGTTATGCAACTGCCGTGAAACTTTGGGCGCTCGAAGCCGTTGAGGGACGGGGGTGGTCTCGCCGGGCAATAGAGGAGCCCTTGGGACGCCGGGGCTACGGACTGTCCCTCAGAGCCCGGCGGGGCCTGTGTTCGCACCCCCTTTGTCCTTCTGGTCGCGCCGCCACACTCTAGTCCCGCACGAAGTTAGCAGGACCAGGAAGGCGGTGCCAGGGCCGCCAGGCGGGGCGTTCCGGGTGAGCGCGGCGACCGCGGACCCACTCCGCTCCGCCGGAGCCCTGCTCTGTGCCTGCAGAACCGGGTGGTCCGTTGCCGGGAGCAGCTGCATGGCCCGGCAATTGACGGGGGCCGCCGCAGGCGGAGCAGCTGCCCCTTCCTGTCAGGCAGTGCAGTTACATGGGGCGTCACTTCAGTGTTCAAGGAAACTCGAAGCAGTTTCTCTGCTGATGCAACTGAATTTGTGTAAACCTGATCAGCTTTGCTCTAAAACCATTGTTCATAAAGTTCGTGGGTGATACTAATTTCTGGAGGCAAACTGATGCTTAAATTAGTTCACATACGATCTCCATAGTACACTTCAGTGATGCTATGGCAATGGGGAAAAAAGGAAGGGAGCATTCGTAGTGACATGGCCCTCAACTATTCTGTTGTGGTTTAGGTAATGCTTAGTGCTTTGCTGACAGGTACGATTTTGGTGCTGAGTTGTATCATAAATCTTTCCAACTCACTATCCATAGGTGCTTTCAGATACAGCTGTGACATTTCATGGATCTATCCTGACCTCTTGTAAACAGTTGCTTGTCCTCTATTTAGTCTGTACTAGAAGCCACAGCCACTATCAAAATGCATTCCCTAAGCTTCTATAAAGCAAATGTAATACATTTTTATTTAATCTTGTCTCATTTGCTTGGTGCACTTGGAACACCTTTTGAATAGTGATGTGACCAGAATTTGCATCTGTAGCTGCAGTACATTCAGTAGCTGCATCTGTAAAGAATGATGTTTGCTTTCCAACTTCACTGTTGGTTTTTACAATAGAAAATGTCAGCTTTTATGATTACATACATACAGATATCACACATTGGTTATGCAAATGTACAACTTTATTTTAGTAAAGCATTTCTTCATTTTATTTTTGCACTTTGGACAGACTCCAGATTATGATGACTGATAAGAATACATCCTCCTCCGCAACAAGAATCCACAGTAGAAAAGTCTTAGGCAAGTAATCTATGTTTTTTTTAAAACTTACTTATTTCTAAGAAGTATCATGAACTGTTCTGAACATCATTTTTGGCATCAGAGCTCAGACCTGGCTCTTGAACAATCGCTGTCCCTTTATCAGTGCAACATTTAACGGTAATGCAGAGCTTGTACATGAACTCCGGATTAGAATCAGCCAGGTCTATGGAACAGATCTTGCTTGTGCATTTCCTGATTTCCTTGCTTCAACAAATATTCCCTGTCATTTACTTTTCCTTACATTTCCTGCTTGTGTTTCCATTAGCTAGGCAGATCTCCTTCTTGCTGATTTTTTTTTTTTTTTTCCTTCCCACATATGCTATATTTCTGGTCAGGAAACCCAGTACTCCTGAGATTTGTTTACGCTTCCTTTCTCTAAGAATTTTCCATGCTATCTTTTGTACCATTCTTCTACTGCTTCCTTATGGGGTCACTTGCTGGCATTTTTACTAGCCCAGACAGCTGTGCTAATTACAGCACCTGCTCCAGGGTTATGCAGCTATTACATATCTTTTTTTTTTTTCTTCCCCCCTGCAATTTCCTTGTTTAAGACCATTGGATATTAGATGATTGCATGTGTATGTGTATGTGTGGCTATTGCACAGATAGTGATCTGAACTCGAGTGATTTTTCACACAGCCTTTACAAGTGCTTTTTTGCTTCCTCCAGGCCTCTGTATCCTTGAGTAAAGGCACACCCAGCTACTGACTACATTCCTTTCCAGATGATATGGCTGTTCAAGGGAAAGCTCTAATAATGTGGTGCCCTCTCATCTGTGTTGATTAGACCACTTCCATAAGAGAGTGTTGTATCTCATGAGTAAGTATATTCACATCTGTTCTAAACTTAAACATTTATTACAGCTAGAACTGTCTCCTTCAGCAAGCTGTACTTTTTACTGAATAAGAGAATTAGCTGCTATTGTACCAATGTTGCAGGCCAAAGCATCTTTTTCTACTAATCTGAAAGTGATTAAAACTGTAAGACTAAATTCTCATAGTACTGTTGTTATTCTATGTTTAGAAAATAGTAACTTCCTTCTTTGGACATAAAATAGGACATGACCACCAGCTTTTATAGAAAATGACTCAATATGTTCAAGTCCATGGAAGACAATGCCACTTCCATCACAATGGGTCTGGATTAAGTGATAAAAGAAGTAAACCACAAGCGTGACGTGCAAAGTCTCCTTATCATTACTTCTTTCTTCTAATTACAGGATTGTACATTTAAAAAAAAAAAGCAAAACACCACCAAAAAAACCCAACCCAATAACATTATTTTATATCCAGTCCATGTGTGGTTCAAATGTTTTTTAATAGCACAGACTTTTTTTTTAACTGAAGGATTTATAAAGTACACGACTTTGAGTATACCCTATTTGTCATACATTTTTTAGCAGCAACTTAAGTCTGTACTTCAGTGGCACACCAAGCAAACAGATAAGAAATAAGTTCACTTTCAAATTTACCCTTAGATAATGAGCATCTAGTGGTTTGAAGAAACAATACTGTGTTGTAATTTTTAATCTAGATACATCACTGCTTTGCATTAAAGCCCTACGTTTTTTTTGTTGTTTTTTTTTTTTTTGTCTGAGAAAGCCCACACAGGTGAAAATCCATGCGTGATGTCTGCTACAAAATAAACCAGCATTCCCTAGAAAAAATCTCATAGTTTTGGGGTAACTTAGTAATAATTACATAGTGCAGACCAGGAAGAGCTGCACAGCTCCTGCCTTCTGTTTAGGTATGTACTACACAAAGAGGCTTTAAAGCGGTCATTGACTACATCTATGTTTTTTTTCATATACTTCAGTGAAGAAGAGCTGCATATAAAGAAAAAGCTTCTATTCCCCCCAGATAAATAATGGAGAAAAAGAATACAATGGAACAGTAGATGTATTACATGAAATTTCACTACAGAAGGCATATATGTGCATCATACACATGCATTTACACATTGAAAAAATACAGTTTGTCATGCAAATGAATGATTTTATTTGCACTTGTGGGTATTGTTTGATAGGCTTTTTTTTTGTATATTATGCTCTTGCTAATAGTTCTATACTAATATAATTTTCAAGGAACTTCTGGAAAGGTATACTTAAGAAAAATGTACTATTTTTTAACAAATGGGTCAGTGCTTAAGTGTCTGTTTTTTATCTGCATGCATTTCATAGCTATTTGTTTCTCAGGTAGGCTTAAACTTTGGTTGGCACCTCGGAACGCACACAAAGCATATCCTATGTGTGTAGACAACTGTGCTGTGGTTTGTTGAATACAAAAAGCTGGTGTATATTACAAAGTTTCACAAAAATAGCTTATGTAAGCAGATGTCCCTTGCCAACACCTTCAGGCCGGCAAAACCTCTAATGTGAACACAGTGAAAAAAAAAAACAACAACCAAAACCAAACCAACAATTGAACTTGTGTCAGCTTAGTTCATGTTGGTTTATAAGTTGATGTAATTCTGCTGGCAAGGAAGCTATGTGAACATCTATAGATGACTGCTCAGACATTCATTTCAGAAACAGCTGTGCTAATCAAAAAATTGCACTAATGTTTGTGTCTCAGGGGTTATTCCTCTTTCAGTAATGCCAGTGGAATGGGACATACAAACACTGCTCATCACATCAGTACAAAGGAAGATTTCACGTAAGCAATTTGGAGCAGTGATTTGGGAGAAGCTGTAGTGCTTGGTTTGCAAACAGCTGAAGCCTTGTCAGTAGTCACTATGCTACAGCTGCTGCTTTAAGCTTCCTCACTGAGGTTAGCGTGGTTCCTCCCAAAAAGACAGTTGAACAAAATACATAAAATACCATGCTATAATCAGTTTGCCTTGGGTAGCTTAAACTGCTGGTGAAAATGAGGTTTGCTAATACAGCTGACTTTGCACATAAACAACTTACTTAGGAAACAATTTCACGTTTGTGGAAATGGTGATAGTGTTAAAAGGACAGAAACACAACTAATCATTATGACTTTCAGTTACTCCAGACAGATTTGGAAGATGATTTTTGGCCAAATTATCTGGGATAAATAAGACCAAAAATAGTCATGTAAAATAAACTGAGACCTGATCTGTTGCTTCAGACTAGAAGTCCATAATTGCAATAAGAAAAGAAGAAATTGCTTAATACAATATGATCTTATTGGCATGAGTTGTTCTGGAATAGTTACGTCAGTTTGGCTCCCTGTGCGAACTCTGCTGACAATACCAGAATAACAACCCAGCTAACAAGACTGAAATACACAGGAGAAGCAACTAAAGAAGAAAAATATTCTGGAATAGCTCTGCAAATATTAGCTGAAGGGTAGCATAAAATAATGCTGAGAATCATAAAAGAATACTTTTTCTAGACTAACTAATTTAACTTGCAGGAAGATAGAGTTAAGATACACCATTCTTTCTTGGTAATAAAAACTGCATGTACACAGAGGGTTTTCTGGTGTAGATTTTGCCAGGAAACAAAGCTAATAGTTTAATTACAGTCATTCAGATTTGCTATTTTGGAAGAGTCTTCCAGTTTGCATTTCTTGTGTCAAACACAGAAAGCGTACGATTTGCTCAAGCTTAGCAGAACAAGTTGAAATGAGATTGATTATTCTGACATCTGCTATTGCTGTTAGTGTAAAATATTTCAGCTGTTACCAAATAAGTGTATAGATACATATAAATAAAAGAACAGAGCCTTATACTTCATAACACATCATGAAGTGCTGATGGTTGCACTTGCTGCTCAGCCCTCTGTATT